AAACAGATTTTTATGAAAGTAAGTTATAAAGATATTTTATAATAGTAGTAATACCGGTATTTTCAAAAAATACTATACTGGTATTATATCATACTAGTGTTTTCGAAAAATTATATCGGTATTATGTCATACCAGTATTTTCGAAAAATTATACCAATATTATGTCATACCGGACGTCATTACCGGTTTATACTAATTAGAATTTTAATTTGATTATTACATAATATCGAAATATACTGGTATACTATTTTTATATCGTTTTAATCGCTAACATATATTTTGAATCGGACACCAAGAAATAAGCTAAAGTATTTTTCATTTATATAAACATTTTTATCAAACAATTAAATTGAGAGTATTAAAGATATCATATCGAAAGATATCATACAGATTTATTAGGTAACTTAAAGAAGCGAATTTTTATCAGAGTTATAAATGTTATCGTATATTATAATGTGATAACAGTATGTTCCAAGTTCTTTAAGCATAGTATATATTGAAAAATATTTTCTTCTTTTGCATAAAACTATTTTCTTATTTTACTAGTGTCGAGAGAAACATCACCTCACAGAGTAATAAATGCTTCTCGGCACATAACGAGTAGTTTGGAAACCAGTCCGACTAGCAGCCGCACTGCGAGCCCCCTGCCACAGGACACTGATGGCGAAGAAGAGGAATTTATAGATACTGTTGAAGTATGACATTAACATTACGTCTCAGATTACTTCAATTATTCTGTTTTATGAATAATTCAATTTTATTGCAGTCAGCGCCGGAGAGAGCGCAAAAAGATGCACTTAAATCCACTATTGCTTCTCAAAAGGTACAAACCATGGCAAAGAACGGAATTGATCATTCAAGTACAGAAAATATTATAAAAGAGAACATTGAATTAACTAATGGATATAGCAACACTAACGGTTACGCAGAGACGATATCGGAGAACCATAGAGAAAGAAGTAGACAGAGAACGAAGAAAGATGATAATAAAGCTAATGCAGAATTCCTGAATCAAATCGCGACAACTATGCAACATCTACAGAGAGATCTAGATCGCATAACGGCCAGAGTACGAGGTTTAGAAGGGCAAGCCTTACAAGCGCTGGCGCCTTCGCCAGTACGCAACATAACTATTATTTAGCTATATCTAATTTTAACAGAAAAAATAATACCTTTGATCTCTTTGAAATAACAAAATGAGAAATAATATTTCTTGTTTTTTATTTTATCTATCACGCTGATATCAACCTTCTTTTTTTTAGGAGCACACTGTTAGACGAAAATATCTGAAATGGTGGCCGTTGCAAGAATGCCCGCCGCGTTTGTTTGTCTTACTAATTTTATGGCCATTTGTTGCTCACTTACTGATCAACTTTATGCAGCGTTATCGCCAACGAAGACTGTGATGTCACGATTATCATTCCAGCTGAGCACACATTTCCCAATGTTTGGGTTATTAATATTGCGTTATAGTATACGTGCACACAGATTTTTTTTGTTTAGTTTTATATTCTTTATAGAGACAAAGCTATCCTAATGCAATCTACGATTACATTAGTAAACGTGAATTGTGATAAAAATGTGACTAGATCAATCTCTGTATATTTTTGCATATGCGGCCTGTTTCGGAAGTTGCACTTTCTCTCGCCTGTAAAGTCACTGAATAATGGGTCGATTGATCACGGCGAAAGTTCGATTGAAAGACACTTCTGTAGACACTTATGTTAAGTAATAGATATGGTTTAATATATTGTTTTTTTTTACACATTTTTATAAAACGATACAAATATTATCCTAAAACACATATAAAAAGATATACAACTTGTGTTCTTTTTTATACATTCATGTTGTATTGTTTTATAATGAAGTGTCTATGATATTTTTATGTATATTACGTAGATGTACAATGTTTTACCGCATATTTAAAAATATGCGAAATAATGCATGAATATATGAGTTATTTTATTCCTTGTGTTTATATTTTAGAAGGAAGTTCGTGACTTCCGGAACAATCTGTATAAAAATTATAAATCTATATTAATGTTTTCTAAGGTGGATTGTATGTAATATATTTAGTTCTTTAGTCATATAGATTGTAATATATTCATACAGAGAAAGTAAATTTGTACATGCAAACGTGTACAATAGTCAGGTTGCGTTTTATGTAAATTATGTGGGTTTTTAAGAAAAAAAAAAAAATTTTTTTTTGAAGTGTATTACTATCGACATTGCGACAATGATAAATATTAATTATTATTAATACGGATTATAATTCTAGTTTCAAAGGAATATTTATACCGAATGAATGCGAAATTTTATGTACATATGTGCAACGTGAAAATATAAATTTTTAATTAAGCTAAAGTTTGTAGCAAAATATTTTACAACTAGATTCGTCTGCCATTGTTGATACAGTGAGAGTGTCGGTTCCCTTTTAACAACCACATTTTTTTCCATGGAGGGGAGAAAGTAGAAAAGGCACAAAGTAGAAAGTGTAGCTAAAGTGCTATTCCTCTTTATGAATAGCAAGTCATGCAGACGTATACACAAAGTGAATCAGCAGAATACTTTCTTAGATCAAAGTTGCAAGAAAATAAACAATATAAAACTTGAGTAACTTTTCACAAAGAACTAATGTATTAAGCATTATGTCTTCGCTTTCTCTAATTTTTTCCTATTAACGTAAGATTAATGATATTTTTTTATAATAAAGTATATATTTCTGTATTTCTCGCATATTTTTTGCTGATGTCAAAATGAATTCAATCGTCCTGAAGTAATTTTGAAAAGTTGTGATCCGACAAGGACATACCTTTAAATTTCCCAAGTTTAAATAATTTTTAAAAGCTTTGTAATTTTATTTGAGAATTTGAAGATGTCTCCTTGTTGAATCTTAAGTTTTCAAATCTGAAATTATTTCAGAATGATATACGATCGAATTTATTTTGATATCAGTAAGAAATATATGAAGAACGCAAAAATATGTAACTTTATCGAAAGAAAAATCATGATTCAATTTCACAATTCGCGGTTCAACTCTGATCGGTTCAACCAGATTCAACTTATTTCTTATCTTTTTTCAATTCTAAAATTGGAAAGAGATAAGAAATAGTTGACTCGATTAAATAAAAAGTAATCACGAATTATGAAACTGAACTTAAGCTTATGTTGTGTTACTTGTATTAATATATACAGTTTTTTTATTAGAATTATATCATTTATATCAATATACATCAGAATATAAAAAATGTTCGAAAAAATTAGGATTTAATGAGAAGATATTTTCAAATTCTCCTATATCCATTTCCACCAATGTAGATTAACCTCGGTTCAATTTTTATTCTTCGTCTTTTTCTAGTTCTAAAGTTGAACCGAGATTAAAGAATTAATTGGTGGAAACGGGCATTATTCAAATACTTGTTTCTTTACTAAAGCTATATATTCCTAGATAACATATTTGTGTTGCATAAGATATTTAAAAGACATCTTTTAGATAGCTTATGTAACATGCATGTTATCTAGATTATTTACATTCTGACGCTGTCATGTCTCTCAAAGGATCATCATCTCAGATTTATAGATTTTTTTCCTTCAAATTTAGAAGAGGAAGTCTGCAAGTTTTATGTTCGTTTTGAATAATTATTGATGATTCATTCACGCTATATATGCGTCCAATGTCAAGTACCAAGAGAACCGTGAGATACTTCATGAAGATCGGAATGCAACTCGCATTCCCCGTTGCAAGAACCTGCTGTGCAACTTGCTGCATGGCTTGTTTACAATGTTTACATAATGGGACTCCCCTACATTTCTTTATTTTAGAATAACTATTTCCTTATCAACTCCACTTTTTTGTCTCTATTTCTTTTCCCGTTGCACTTGACCACGTGACCGTGCACAACGGAGAAAGTGAAGGGGTGACAAAGAGGGAGAGACGTCACGTAATTCTACTACCCATAGGCCGTAGAATATAAAGGAAAGAGGGTGAATGGGGGAGAGGAGGGAGAGGACATTAGAGCGGAGAGGAAGCAAAAGCAAAATGGTAGGAGAAGATCTTAGGTGGGGAACAACCTGACAGTCCCGGCAATGGGATCCTTTTGTGTCCGAATGTGTGTGAAGTTGTGCGCACATTGTGGCCATATGTATGTACACACGGCTGTGAGGTATCTTCACCACGAAAATGTGTTCGCGACGTTCGAACATTCGTAGATTTTAGCTGATCACGCTCCGACTTATCCGCACGTCACGTGCGGTCGACACGTGCGATCGCCGTTCGCTCGCAAAGTCACGTCGAACCAAAGTCTCCACGCGACATGGACACCGGAATGTTGCTTCTCGTGCTCACGAGCGTCCTCACCAGCTGCTCCGGCGCCGGCGATCTCGACCTGGGCACAATTGTCTTTGCGAACGTCGTAAATGAATTTAAATTACGCTTTTTCACCTTTTTGTTTGGCATTAATGCTGCTGTTGTCTGGTACAAGTTTAGAGCTTGTTCTTATTGTTTTCTTTTAATTTAATTTGACATGTTATATAATCAGTTTCGATTTAAGATTGTGTTTCGAGACTGACAAATAACATTAGTATACAATCCACTTTGGATAAACTAAAAATTATAAAATTTACAAAAATATTATTAGGCATCAAGATTTATTTTGATTGAACATTAGCTCATTATGTTGAATATTTGTCGATCGATTTTTACTTAATATTGTATCTTTTTATTGTTTTATATCAAGTTTCATCCTTATTCAAGTTTATCCTTATTATGCAATTTTATATCAAATTTATTCTTATTATGCAATATTGTTTTCTGTCGTAGAATTCAATATTTTTATTATTTCAATATGTATTAATTATAGGCCTTCCAAAAAGCGACTCAATACAACACAGATTATCTCATTCTCGTTTAACATTGACGAACAAGGATAATTGATGCACTGTGTCACACCACGTTATATGTACCTTATTGGAAGACACTCTATATGTCTTGAGTTTTTACGTCACTTGTAAAATATGCAAAATTTTAACATTTTTATTTTTACTTTAATTTTTATTTTTATTTTTATTTTTACCGCCTGGTGACTCATAAACTTATTGTGAAAACATAATGGAGCTCGTTTTTATTTACAGTTGTACAGACATGGAGATAGAACTCCAATTGCGCCTTACATGAACGATCCTTATAAGAATGAATCGTTGTGGCCGGTTCCATTTGGACAATTAACAAATGTAAGATAATTACAATACATCATATAACATGGTTCAATAATAAAAATTAAAAATAAGTGTTTTAGAAAGGTTATAAACCAAAAAACAATGTAAATGTGTAAATAAAAGAAACAAATATAATTATCATGATCTAAAGCAAATAATAAATAACAGACGTCGTTCGACTTAAATTAAACGGATCAACTAATAAGATAATACAAAAAAACAAATAACCATCTGTAAAATCGCATCCTTTCATTATGAATCCTGCAACAATATAGCGTATATGTTAGATGTTAAAATAATAAAAGTCCTTATTGATGTCAAAATAATTAACAAATGTAAACATAAATAATTATATGCATGGAGAATATGTTTTTAATTCAACATAATAGATATTGTTATCTTATCTTATCATACATAAATATATCTAAATCATTTGAAATGCAATACTGTGGACTTTGTCAAACTTACTGTATATTGATTTCTAAAAGCTTGCACATTAACTTTATTAATATTTAACTTGGAACATGTAGATTGGGAAATACCAACACCTACTTCTCGGACGCTGGCTAAGGAAACGATATTCTGGTTTTTTAAGCGATATTTACACGCCACATGACATTTACATTCAAAGTACGGATGTAGATCGTACCCTGATGTCAGCCGAGGTGAATCTCGCAGGTCTTTATCCGCCGGTGAAGAATGAAATATGGGACAATAACATCTACTGGATACCGATCCCTGTGCATACCATACCGGCACAGGAAGACTATGTGCTGAAGGCGAGCAAGTATTGCCCGCGATACAAATACGAGCTGGAAAAACTCTTAACATCGCCGGAAATGGAAAATATCAAAAAAGCAAACGCAAAGCTTTTTGCTTACTTAACTGAACACAGCGGGGAAAATATAAATTCAATTAGAGCAGTTGAACATCTATATGATAATTTATATATTGAGGTACATTGAGATGTTCTACGTTATCAATTATGTATACTATTATCATAATTTGCTCATTTGCTCATTTGCTCATTTACATATAATGATAAAATTGCTTTGATTTATTTACAGACATTGTACAACAAAACTCTACCGCAGTGGACAAAATCGGTGTTTCCAGAGGAGTTGAAACCTCTCGCTATACTTAGTTTCATGATTGAGGCTTATAATAAGATACTTCAAAGATTAAAAGCAGGTATAATCAGTGTATTTATCATTTATTAATAATGTATATATATTTGTATATATTTGTATTTACATATTTTATTATGTTAACATTTTTTATGTGGAATATTTTTGATATTTTAAAACATTAATATTTTTTACGCTTTCAAAGATATTTCTTAAATCTTCTCCATTATATAGTCACTTATATATTATAATATATTTATATTATAGTATAGATTTATAGTAGACATTTAATTTTAAAAACGTTAGGTCCACTACTTGGAGAAATGATAGATCACATGGTCAAGAAAGCACAACATATCTTACAACCTGATAGAAAGATATGGATATACAGTGCTCATGATGAGACTATAGGAAATTTACTTATGACTTTGAACGTATTTGACCCTCATCCTCCACCTTACGCTGCTGTGGTTCTTATCGAATTAAGGACGAACTTAAAAAATCAGTATTTTGTGACAGTAAGAATTTTATTTAATTCATATGCGAAATATTTCATTAAATTTTTTAAATATTTATCTTTTCTTTATCATTAGGTTTCTTATAAAAATACGACGGAGGAACCAATTCTTATGACATTACCGGGCTGCGATACGTTATGCCCTTTAAATGAATTTATTAATTTGACAAAGAACGTTGTACCTGAGGATTGGGAAAGAGAATGTCAAATAAGTCGAAATGAGATAAGTTCTAGCGATGTCATCGGTAATTACTGGATTTAACATATTGCATTAAATATTTACAATTTTTTTGACATTGTGCAGTATTTACATGTATATGCAACATTATTTAATAATTTTGCATGTAATTGTTTAGATTGCTCATCTCAAGTTTTAATTAGCATTTTTTATATGTTTCAGCAATTCTGACATCATCCATATTAATGCTAGTTTTATTGGTCCTAATAATAATCGGCTTTATATACTGGCGACATAAAAAAGAACATAGACAGTATTATTT